TTGAAAAACAATAAAGTGATTTTCAATGATTAATATTTGTTTTTGTTCTCTAATCCTGAAATATAAAAAGCAACCCTCGTATTTTAATTTTGGGGCGTACTTTACATAAAGCCCAAGGGACATTTTCTCCCCCCCCCCAAAAAAAATGGCTTCATTGATTTTGATTAAATTTTGTTGTTGGGTAGTCTGAAAGGCGTTTAAGAAAATGGCGTAGGTCTCAAGATGGTTAAAACTCTGATTTTTCCAAAATCGAAAAAAATCAAAATTTTCGGCGTCGTCCTACAATTAAAATATGAAAGATGGATAATTTTTGCCTTTAATCAAATCTGTTCCTTGAAGATAGGTTTTGAAATTATGTCATTTTTTCGTGAATTTGGGTATTTTTCACGTAATTGAGATAGAGGAAGACAGAGACAGAAACAGATACTATACCACCCCTAACAGGTGGGCCCAATGTACTTACCTAATTTTGTGTGTGTGTGTATGTATATATATATATATATATATATATATATATATATATATATATATAATACCAAAAAATCGACTGACAGCAAAACGTCCGCCCGTACGGTGTTTGTGAACAGTAGCGTATATACTAAGCTCCACGATTTTTAAAAAACTTTCTTTAATTTTTGGAGGGGTACTTTACACGACCCCCCCGGACATTTTCCAAATTTTCTCAAAAACCGCTCCAAATTTTTCTTTACATTTCTTGTAAGAATAAAATACAATTATAGAGGTGACATATATCAGATTTTCGCGGTTAATTTAGACAATGAAAATTGCAAAACTTTATTTTTTCTGGGTCTTCCTACAACTACAAAATTGAAGATGGAGATTTTTCTGTCAAATAAAATTTGTTCTCCATAATGAGGTATTTCATTAAGGTGGTACACATTTTTTTTAATCTAAGCGGTTTTTGCGCAATATTGCGACCAATTTGTGCAATTTAAAAAAATAAAAAACAAGAATTCCAAAAGCACATTTTTTCTTTAAACTTTTGATAGGGATAGTGCACTCTATGAAACGATATAAACGCCATGTAACTATTTTTTTGTTTCATAAAAAATACAAAAATGTATATTTTTTCAATTGTCTCTCAGGTAGTTTATATTGACATTAGCGGCGATTTGTTCGTATTATTATATTAATGAGTATATGTGCTTTAAAAAAGTGTCTCGAAAATTGATTCTGTGAAATAGCATACAGTGTTCTGTGAAAACTGGCTCAAAATTCCGCATTTTCAAAAACGATCAAATGCCACTTTCTAATAAATAACTCCCAAGTTTTTTCTTCAAACTTTTCTAATCGTTCATGTTTATTGGACTCTTTAATATGACGTAAAGTTCATTTTGAGCTTTTTTTTTTTAAATTACACAATTAATTTTTTTTGGTAAGATCACTCATGTCGTTATTATGCACATTTCCAGCACTTTGTAAACACTATTGTAATTGTGAGTTAATGTGCATCAAATGATTTCGAATGAAATTTTTCGAAAACCCAAAAATTTTCTGTGAGACACCATTTTCTTAAAAACAGATCTAAATATTTGAAGAAAAAAAGAAAAAAAATGCCATTTAGGACAGGTTTTACAGTTCTTAAATATTCTTAAAATAGTATATTGGTTCCATTAGAAAATCGAAAAATTGTGAAAATTTCCAAACAATATAGTTTGGGTGGTGATAAATGGCAAATCCAAATAGCTAGCCTAGCCGAGCCTCAGGAAATAGAAAACAAATTCGGGAAAGTCTGTGCCGTTCAGTAAAGTTTTTGTTGTTTTTGGATTGTTCTATATTAACGCATGTAACCTTGAGCATCTGAGGATCACAAAGAAATATTTATCAAAACATAGTGATTAAATTGAACTTCAACAAATAAAGTGTTTTTGTGATATATACATTAACTTTTTAAGTTACTTTTTAAATTTTTTATTTTTAGTTTCTTTAACAACTGACTTGAATCAATATGGAAGTGTTTATTTAATTTGTCTCATTATTGTTCTGTTGTTTGTATTATATTTATGTGTCTTTTCTTCCATATTATTTTGTTCTAATCCAATTGTTTTTCTGAAGTTTTTGAGTGGTAACTCTAGTTGAGTTTACTCCTGAATCATCATTACAGCTGTCTCTGCAGCAACTTGGGCCAAAACTGGATTCAAATCCTGATTTAGAAGAATCCGCTAAGAATGCGCCAAAATGACAGTTCGCCAAGTGAACATCACATGATATTCAGAGAAGTATACCTCCACCGAGACAGCTGATTAGCTACACCTCTTAATAAAGTGTTTGTGCTCCAGTTAAGACATCGTGGCTTCTCATGGTTCACAACCGTGTATCTATATAAAATAAATTGATACAAAGCAAACCATAGAACATGCTCGATCACAGTTCGCTGCTTTACCGTGCAGGAGAAGGAAACTCGTGCAACAGTACTTGTCTGACATTCAAGACTTTGTTTTCTATAATAATTATCACACAAAAAGTAAATTCAATGTAATGTTTATATAAAACAATAATTTTCACTGAAGAGCACAGTAGCACTACACTTCCAAATTTCAATTATTTCTCGTGGGGAATACATTGGACGAGAGCATCACAAAAGGAAGCTTCAAAGCCATTTGAAAGTGAGCTGAATGCGAACTGCAAACGAATGAATAAAGGAAGAAGTGTCAAATGGGCTGAGGACACAATGACCATAAAACCTTCAGTTATGTTGCCAGCACTAGCTGTCAAAACAGTGCATTCTTATAAAAATTACTCTATTGATGGATCTTTGACACTAGGTATGTAGTTAGGTTGAATTCAGCCGCTATATGGAGTGGAAATCTGACCAGGGAGGCCAGCTGTTCTTATGAGTTGTTTTGCATGGTTTCTTTAATAAATACCAGGTGAATGGTTGAGTAGTATCCTAACCAACAACCATGGAATGTGCATGATCATTCTTTCCTCTTCCTTATGTGGCAGGATCCCATACAGGTGCTTACAGCCTGTTCTGGCTAGGGCAGAAGCCTGCTGGGGGAGATGCATGGAGAGGGAATTTCCCTGCAAGCCGAAGTGTAGGTCACTGCCAAATCATACCATCCAGCAGGGGAGGAATATTTTCTCCTCAAGCAGAAAAACATTCACTACACTAACAGGACTAATTACCATAGCTTTTGACATACCCGGAAATATCAATTAATCCTGAAAGTGTTAACTTTTTATCATAGAAAATTCTGTGACTATTTTGATTCAAAAATGTACTTGCTATAGAAGGCAAAGCAACTTTTGTCTTGATATCATATCATATCAAGATATCATTCTTTACATATATTGCTCAATTCAAATTCTGTATTCTGTAGGGTGTCTCCTCAGTCTCTTATTATGGCTTGGTTGTCTACAATATTGCCAATAACTTCTGGTTGCTTGTTTTCTTTATTCTTGCCAGTTTTCTTTTTCCATACTTGAATCATGTAATTTAGGTAGAATGTTCACAAATAGTAGTGACACTGTGTGTACATTTATTGACTCATTTGCAGGTGAATCATAGTTATTTTAATTTCTAACACTGAATTCTAGTTGTTATAACTTTTCCTGTTTCCCTTTTAAAAGTTATTAAAGCCTTCCATTCTTGGTGAGCCTGTTTTGTTATTCTTCATTTAATTAATTAGTTTTAGACTGAAATAGTTCATTAGCAACCATAATTGTTATAATGTCTCTAACTGGGAGATCCTAGTGTTCGAGTCCTCACAACAGTGGCTTTTTAAAAGCTAGCTATACAGCTAGGTCTAATTCAGCTTTCTTGAGAACTCTAGCAATCAGGTGCTCTGATCACCAGTTTTCCATGGTTTCTACGATCAACACTAGGTGATTGCTGGAGCAGTACTCTAACAAGCAGGGCATATACCACACACTATCTGCTTCCTCACATCTCAGGGTGGCCTTTAATTTCCTGAATTTCTCATTACTCTTCTTCTGTTTACGAAGCCTCGCATCCTATTTGTATCATCTGACAGTTTAAGTCATACATCAGTCACATTTACTTGCCTGAGTTGTCACTTATCTTATGAAGTTGTGCAAAGCAAATGAGACTTATCACATCATTTGAAAAAAGAATTCACATTTCACTAAACAGAACCACTATTAATTGATTTTTTACAAAATAATTTGGATTAATAAAAGAAAGAGAAAAAATAAAATAAAAGAATAAACAAAAGCAAAACATGGAAGCAGAAACTTGGAAGTCAAGTCATTCACTAAACCTTTCAATAATTTAAATCTTCAAAAAATATAAATCACCTCTATTACAACTATACATTTTATTTCTTTATTTTGGTTAAATTTACAATACTTCACATTATAATTACTCATATTTCACTTACCCTGAGAAGTTCATTCAGGTCTCGATTGTATGATGGCAATTCTTTTAATTTTCCTTTCCTGATTTCTTGCCACTCAGTTCCATTCTTTGGTAATGGTCCACCTCCTCCAGCTTCATATGCTGTCAACCCTACAAAAAAATTCCTGGATGTGAACAAAATTGACCAGCACATGTAAGTTTATATGTGGACAAAAACTGAAAAGGCAATAAATATAATAATATTTATTTATTTATTTATTTATTTATTTATTAGAAAGTGACCTTGAATAAATAAATTAAGAGGGATACCATACTTACCCGATTGTAAGCCAGCCTTTCCCCCCTTTCTTGTATTTCAAAATTTGACCCTTGGCCTAGAATCAGTGTTATAAGGTTGCTATAACATAGTTGTCACCAGACACCAGTAAATATATCTATTTTTCGTCGGCCACACAGCCGACACAATAAATAAACTACCCCCATTTGTAGTCTTCAAATGCAAGACACAGTCAAAATAAGTCATTTCCTAAGAGCGTTATTTCATGCGCAACTGAAAAAGGGTGGTTTACTGAAGACACGATACAATGGGTTCAGATGGTGTGGCATTGATATCCTGGCGCTTTGTTGAAGTTACGTAGCCTCCTGGTTTTGGACTCTTATGCGGCCCACATTACCAAAGCTGTGAAAGAGTTAAAAGATCAGGGACAGACTTGGCAATTATTCCCGGGGAACTTACGTCAATACTTCAACCCCTGGATGTGTGCATCAACACAAGGACAGTTCAATGTACTCAGACTGGCTCTCCAAAGAAAACGAAATGCTCACGCCTACGCATGAAATGGGCTAGTCTATCGCAAGTTTGCGCTTGGATATATGATGCCTGGAAGAGTATTCCTAGAGAAATTGTTGCACATGCTTTTAAAAAGTGTTCAATCTTAAAAGCCCTTGACGGCATTGAAGATAACTTCCTTTTCATGGACAAAAATGACAAAGTGAGGAATCTGAGTCATCTGATGACAGCGTCTGAGTTAAAGATCTCTAAAATGTATAGAAATCAGTGGCCTGAGTGTGTTATGCATCAAATGTAATTCTCCTCTTCCCTAAATATCCTGACCTCCCCCCCTTCAATATTTCTTGGGGTCAGCTTACAATCGAGTAAATACGGTAATAAAGCAATACAAACGGCTTTAAAAAACTTAAACCATTGATTTAGAGCACTTTTCAAAAATCCGTTATAAAAAAAAGCAAGCATGCTGAGGATCCCTTTATCTTAATCCTTCAAATTCCGAAGTTATTTGCATTCCAACTATACATCAAGTATGTTATGAAGTTAACCCATTTCTTCCCAAAGTTGCATAAACACAATGCAATGTTTACTATTTTATTTTTACCTATATTCATTGAAAGTATTTATAATTTTTTGTAGAATACATATAATACTCAATGACTTTAAAACCATTTTTGTTTGATACATACATAATACATGAATACATATTTTAATTTTTTTCTCAATCAAGGTGTGTGCCCTATTTAGATGTCTATAATATCCGATTTTTGATCTTGAAATTGGTGATCAATGAGATTTTTTGTTATCATACTGCAAAATATGTTTGCAAATAAGTGTTTAATGTTTCAGTACAACATGATTTTTAAAACAATTTTTATTGACAAATATTGTGTTCCGTTCATAGTACGTTAAGAGATTCCCAGCAGATTTGGGAACGGCCAAATTCCATTATGGGGCCATGACAAAAGGTTCATAGGAGCTTAGTACTTCGAAAGAGACGTAGTATTAGGTAGAATATACTCTCTTTGAATTGTTCCTTTGATAGATATGCCAAAGGACGCACCTTAGGGGTAAAGGTAGAAAACTGCAAAATTGAGCCCATTCTTTGATGAACGAACAAAAGACTTTTGCAATCCAAGGTGTTTAGCCAGAATTGATAAGTACTTATGATCAGATAGTTTCATTCTTGGGGCGATAATTTGCGAAAACAAGTGAGATATGAAAGGTTTAGTTTCATGTAGTAGTGCGTATTGGCAAGAGAAAAACATTTTTTTGAAATAACTTCTTGTTTATGATGGAATATCAATGAAGACACAAATGTTTGATCTTACATGAGAAATTAGCAATTTGACAAAAATTGTTAAAGAAACTATGAGTACCACTTGCTGTTTCTAGGCAAACTTCTGTATGTAATACACTATTTTTTGTCATTTAGGAGAAACATATTTCTATGCAAATAGAATTGTGGCAGTTAAGAAAAAAGTGCATCAGACCGTTCGCTTTGAACCCAAAAAATTATTTCAAAACAAAAGTTGTGCATGATTACATGATAGAAAAGCATAATGAGATTTTTATTTGTTAGAAATTCTGCTAAGCAAGGAATATTTTCATTCTAACAGCAAGTACTCTAAATTGCATTGATGTCGAGTCCATACTAGGACTTTCTTTTCTTAAAAGCAAGGGGGACTTCTAATAAAAATATGAATACTGGAAATCCCAATTGCAATTTGTCACCTGATACATTGAAATTTAGGTCCATAACAATTTTATAAAGTAATTGATATTTTAGTAGTGCTAAGTAGTGTAAGTAGTAATGCATTCAAAGAACGTAACCTTCATAAGAATCAGACAATTTTGGAATATAAAAAAAATCAAATACATTTAAATTCTATTTGGTTTTTACACCTTCCTAAATAGATTTGAATTGTTTACATCAGTAAGGATTACAATTAGTTGACAATAAGACATTTCTTTAAAATGCGGTCAGTACACTCCCTTTCCAGAAAAACCCCAACACTGCATATACGCAACATACCGCCAAGCTTCCACCAAGAATCAAAATAATTTTAGCAAACTGGTTTGCTATCTTTGAAATCTTTTTATCAACATTTAATTAAAATTTATTCAATAAATTAAGTATTTCACTGTTTGAGAAGAAATGGGTTAAGCCACGGAAAATTAATAATACTTTTACCATAAATAATAGCCTTAGCTGATCACATTTAACATTAATTCAAATTATAAATGATCTTCTTGGTGCTTTTCCTCTATGTTATTAATTTATTAATGAAATGTCGCTACAATAGGAAAGATTTATAAAGAATTTCTTTTTTAATTAACAAAACTTGCTTTCTTACACTTTAAAACCAATTTTTTTTAATCCTTCACATTCCTAAAACGCTAAAACCTTTGCACAAAAATTAACTTCATAATGAATTTGGGTCAACATTTTCTTACATGTCATTGTCTTGCACATCAGTCTGATGACCTCTTGAATTCTTATGTGTAACTGAGGCCTTTTGCTACCATCTATTCTCGAAGTGGTATCCATGCTAATGAAAGGAATATCTTTCACAGATTTCCTTGTCAATCAAATTTCATTTCAAATCCAATGGCGTAGGTTACCCTTATAACATTCAATGACAGACCAGTTGTATCTTTTATTTGCTTTTCAACATGTGAAAGTCTCATAGGCTGCAATTCAGCACCAGAATCACAGTTTGTGCATTGTAAGATTTCCCAACAGAAGAATGTGTTGCTGCATCATCCACAGTTTCTCCTGCTCTTGTTGAGACAAGTTCATAGAGTGCAAGGAAAGCAAAAACCTATGCCAGGCTATCAAACTGTGTTGTATCAGTGAAGCATTCTTCTTTCAGTCACTAATCCAGGCTTTCTTGGAGTCATATTCAATAGCATTTTTTTGCAATGATAGAAGCAGTGAAAGTTTGGATTTCTGATTTTCATGGATTGTGAATTTGGAATTTTGGCTTGTTTGATGTCATGTTCCCTACAAGGCAATCATTCACCTGGTGATTTTATGTAACTTAAAACTGGTAACAAGGTCATCCAGCAATTGATTGATTGATTGATTAGTTATTCTGGGTGAGTCAACAGCGAAGGCCAGTAGTCCTGAAAATGTAGTGCATGTTTCTCCCCTTGGGAGAAATCTGTGATCATCCCTGCAAGATAGTGAAATACCAACATACTGTTAGCTAGCGGGGATTTCCCCAACCAAGTATCTCCCACCAGTGGGACACTGCCCCAGCCAGGGCAAGCTCTATGCTCCCAACCAGTCTCCCAGCATATGTGTAGAGCATGTTAGAGTAAGTGAGGGATGAGAATAGGATAAGGAAGAGAAAGAAAAGATTGTGTGCAGCCGTGGGTAATTTGTTAGACTGCTCCCGCATTCACTCGATCGGAGAAACCATGGAAAACTACCAATTAGAGCAACCGACAACGAGAATTCTCCTCCAGACACAGACCAAACTCATCCTCTAGCATGGAAATTTCTGCCAACATCTGGATTCGATCCAAGGGCCTTCGAGCCAGAGGCACTGCAGTGATAGCAGTTGATGCCCTGAGAAACCTCTCCTGGTGACATCCAGCAATGAACCTCATGGGTTTTTTTCAGAACTCTATTTATTTTATTCATGTGGGCCTGTTCAGGGAGGTCTAACGGCTGACTTGAGCCTGACGGGGTTCCCCAATGCCGACAAGTAAACACCAGTAACGCACTCCTGTAATAGGAATACCCGATTTGGATCAAAAGTCAGCAAGTCCTGCTATCTCCTCCCCATGGCAGCCCCTGGGTGCTCTTTAAGGTGAGAGCTTGGAGAGCAACTAATGAGAGCAGGGTGAGGGTGAGCTTCCGGTGCCTGAAAATCGGAGCATTGGGATAAGGAAGGAAAACAACCTGCTGCCTTACACGGAGGAGAGGGATCTCCAAAGGTTAGAGGAGAAAACCTTGAACAAAATCACGCATGCCCACAGGCAGAAAGGGGACATTCCCACTGGGCAGAGTGACTTAGGGCCAATCACCCACTCACTCATATAGTGGAGTCAGAGAAACTTAAATAGCCTCAGACAAGAAAGACAATTTAGATGACTGCGCAAAGAATTTGTCATGAATATAGGCATATGGAATATTACATCAATAGAAGTGGAAATAGTAGAAATGGAGAAGTACAATTTAAAGAATTTGAGGATTAGTGAAGTTACAAACAAGGGAGCAGGAGTGGAATTGCATAAAGGGTATATAATGAAATATTTAGCGGTGTAGATATTAAAACAAGAACTGTTGAGGTAGTAGGTATTATTGTGAACCCAGAAATTAATAAGAGTGATTAACTTTGAACCGTAAGAG